TAAATGAATTTACCTCCTAAGTGCTAATTTATGTCAAAACTGAGCACCAGTGTAACTGAAGGAATAACAAACCCATTCTTGTATTGTGGAGGAAGGTTTAGGCTTTTAAAAGCACTTAAAATTGCTTTAATTGTGAATCTGAATGGTGGCGCTCACACACACACATACTCTCTCTCTCTCTCTCTCTCTCTCTCTCTCTCTCTCTCTCTCTCTCTCTCTCTCTCTCCCTCTCCCCCCTCTCAGTTTATGACTGCTCTAAATCTTTCTTCCAGCTCTGGCCTCCAACCACTTGACTTGATAAAGTAGGTCACTTAAAAAAGGAGGAAAGCTCAATAAAAAGAATGACAAAGACAACAAGATTAAACTGATTGTGCTGTTTTCATACATTGTAGCTAAAATTCTGCAAATATGCAGTTGGCTGTGGTTTGGCGTTTAACAGCATGTGATCAGTGAGGAGGGGGAAATTTTATTCTCATTAACTGTTGCAGATTTACGGCAGTGAAAAAGGGCTATGTAACCTGAGAAGTGACAGTACAGAAAGATCAAAGCCATGGTCTGGAAACTAAATAAACCCGCTGGCTACTTCCTGCAAGGAAAATTCACTTTAGCAATGTAAAACAGAGCCCAGTTAAAAACTACTCTCAGTTTTATGAGCTGTCATAGCAGTTCAAGTGGTTTGGACTGGTTGAGTTTAGAACATTATATTTCCTTGTTTTTGTCTTAGATACTTCTGTAAGCAGTTTTATAGATTAAAAAAAAACCCAGAAAAATAAAATTTTTTCTTTTGGTTGAAATTGAGAAGGTTACCACTAAACTCATTAAAGTAAGCAGGTCTTCATTTGCACATTCCTTTCTCATTTACTATGGTTAAATATTTTGCTTTTAGATTTATTAGCAACATACATTTACTTTAATAATTCATCTGTATTCTGTTCAATTATTGTTTAAAATAAGTGCAAATCAGTTTACAGAATCCAGATGGCTTGTATCTCAGGAGGGGGATATTCGTAGTAGCACATCTGGAGAGACTACAGGCAACAGAGAATGAGGGAATTAATTAATATTCTGCTTAAAAATCTACAGACCCCCAGGTTTTGGTTTACTTTTTCAACATTTAAGGGACCTGAACTCACTCACTGCTATTCTACAAATCTTTTAAAATTGTTACTAACTACTTAAACTACATTGTTAAGTCACTCAAAATGCAGCTGGGCTAGAAATAAATGCGACCTTAAACTAAGAGACAGCATCTAGGTCAAAAATTGGTTCAAATGTGACTGATTCAGGATGTGAAGGAAAAAAATGATGAAAATACCAATTCTTTGCAAAAGCAGCTTACAACTGCTGACAAAATTGCAAATCTAAATTTAAAAGTCTAAGTTACTTCAAGTTTCTGGTAAAACACGAAAAAACCCTTGCAACAGTTACCTCATGTCTAAAATACGAACATTCTTGTTTTACAAGCTAGGAAGTTACAAAGAGTAAATAGGAAAGTCTGTCTCTGAGATTCTAATAAATGGATCACTGAAATATCCATCTTTATTTAGGGGCTTTATATTTACTTCCTATAGAAGTTCATAATTTATTTCTAAGTTCCTAAGGGCACTGGTTCAGCCCTGTATGTACACCCAACCTAAGTTTCATTAATAAATGTGAAAAATGTCTGACTACCATTATTAGACACTATTGAACTAAGTCAGTTTGTAAGATGGAGGTGTAGTAATTCATTTATGAATCATTTGGATTAACACTCATGTTACTTCTTCTGGTACAAAACTATGCCTGACACAATCAGCTTTTTAAGAGCTGACTGATTGATTTTAAAAGCTAGATGAAGATTGATGTGTTAATATTTTTACAGGACCTAGATGAATTTAGATTACTAGATTATTCATGGACAGAGTTATCCTGACTTTTATTTAAATTAAGTTTCCCCCATTAACATCTTTTAGATTTTAAGTAACTGTTGGATTTGCATAATATTCACTCAGACCAGCAGTCTGAAATGTAATATGAACTTGACAAAGGCAATCTTATCAATTATTTCTCCTGCTAGTGAGGTTCAGAGGTGAAATAAATCATTAAAAATATTTTCCCCAGTCTACAATACAAAATTTTCAAGATCAGATTTTCTTCTAAACTTTCTATGAATCTCTAAACCTTATTTTTAAACCACTGTTCCTTTTTGCATGTATAAGGTTTACAATTTGCTAATGTGTGATAAACTAATAAAATTTGGACATAAAGGTTATATGCCCAATTTACTAATAAAACCTAATTCAGCTCTCTTTGGGAAGTACAAATGGATTAATGTCCAAATAGTGGAAATGAAATTTTCTACTTTTCAAATGTTAGCAAGGGGGTGGTCACTTTATAAAAAAAATCTAAACAACATAAAATTAACATAGCCCTTGGGAATTTGTTTATAGAAAAAAAAATGATTACTAATTACTTAAATAAATGATTGGCATGATTCATGCAACATCAGTATCCCACCTATCAATCACTTTATAATTTGCTGCTCCATTTAAAAAATAACTGGATGTCAACTGGGACATCAACAGTAAACTCACTCACATGGCAGCATGAACTTTAATAAGCACTGAAGCATTTAGCAACTTGTCTACAGCAAATCTGTAGCAGTTATTCACAGTGAACGATGCCAAATGTGTTAAAGCAAAATACAAGTAAACAAGATCCTACACACTACTGGAAGTTAATATGTAATGAAAAGCCATTTACTTGACTTTGAATTCTATTAACTCTCACTATAAACTTTCTTTTAACACAACTCATTGGATGACTAATAAATCAGACTGTCATTTGGATTCTGTGAGCCTGTATGCTGAGACTTTAAGTGGATTAAGCCTCAAACCTTACTGACTTTGATTTCAAGGTTGATTTCAAACAACTAATCATCCTGGAAAATAGGTCTTCTTGGCACAGCATTATTGAGTTCAGGGAGAAAAATGAGGCTGAACATGTATAAGTGTAAAAAGACATTCGGTTTCATATTTTTATTCGAACTTTCATATAGTCACTGCAGTTACACTATTTCAAAAGCTTAACAGGTGAGAAATGAATGGCTAACAACCTTTTCCTCACATTAGATATAATCTTTTATAATTTGTGATGGTATTTCCTATGAATGGTTTTATTAACATTAGGAAACTTTATTATCATTTGGGCAAATATTCATTTCTGCTCAATTTGCACTGATAGTGAAACAAGTTGAAATTATTCCAAATTGGTATTATAGTTATTCCTATGAACTACAGCTTTTGGAGTTGATCTTTATTTCAATGTAAATTTAGAATAAATAAAAATAAAATAAAAACACTTTGTAACTGCAGAACACTGGGTACTGTAGAGTTCCATTAGAACAATAACTATCACATACCCTTGGACATATAGAGAGAGTGGTAAGTCATGTTTTGTGAGACACACCGCACGCCACCTCTTGAGCTGGCATACCCCCTGGCTGAAACACTTTCCCTCCTTGACTCTGCATCCTTGCTTCCTGGATTCCCTTCAAACTCAGTCAGATCCCTTCTGTGCAGAAGGCCTCTTCAGGCATCTCCTCTCCAGACCTTGCCAGTGCCTTTCTCCTGAGACTGCCGTCCATTTACACTCGACAGATCTATAACCATGTGCACAGTAACTTGCACATTATCTTCCATGCTAGAATGTGAGCTCCCTGAGGACAAGGACCATGCATTTTCACATCTTGAACACTTAGCCCAGGACCTGGCATACGCAAAGTGCTCAATAAATGCTCAATTACTCAATATTTGCTTAAAGACTGATACCATGCAACAGTAATAATGTCATCTGTATATGTAATCAATGTCATTTATATATGGAGATGAAATTTCCATTGAGACATGATGTGCTGACTTTTATTCAGAAGCAATTATCTGTCAAATCCACTACTTGCAATCTCACCAATATCACATATAAATCAAGTTTTTGCAAAAAGAATTCCATTTTCAGGGCATTACAAGATCTATATGATGAACCTTTTGGAAAATAAAGAATCTTGTCATTATGACAATGTCCTAATTATGTAATATGCTCTGTAAATTTGGATCTTCACAGATTGGTACTCTTAATGTAGGGCATCGTCATACTGTATATGTTTGTCAATACTGCATATATTATTTTTAAAATAAAGATGAAAGCAATATGGAAAAATGTTACTGTAAAGTAGTATTATCACTATGACTATAAGTAATACTTATAATGAGAAAACATAAAAAGTGCTTCATAACCATAAAGCACTACATAAATGATTGCTATTATTACCATGAAAATAATGTTTTTTTTAAAACTTGTAATCTTAATGATGTAGCACATAATAGACTTTTAAAATCAAATTACTGTCACCAAAAGTTTCTGTGGCCCAATAAAAGCTTTGAAGTCCTGTGTATCAGCAAATGAAATTACTCAGAATCAGGACTAGGAGAAAAAAAAAAGGTACAAGCTATGTTGACTAAACATAAAAACCAAAATAAACAAGGATAAAAACAAAACAAGTGGTTAATTCATTAATACTTATAAGGTTGCTAAACATGAGGGAAATTGCCCTCCACATGTGTTTTCCTTGGTAGTTCTTGCTTTTTTTTTTTTCAGATAATATTTATTATTAATTCTGCCATGGAGATGCAACAAACCTCAATTAATCAGACAAAATAGGCTTATTAAGTAAAAATGGAAGGATTCTCTAGTTATATTTAACTGTTGTCACAATACAGAAAAATGTCTTGCCTCTCCAAATGTACTTCTTGATACAGACTGTCATAGCAAATATATAAGATGGAATTCTGTGCAACTTCCTGTACAATATATTGTCTTTGTGCTCTAATCTTTTGGGTAAAATGGGAAAAGGGAGGAAGGGAGTAAGAATTTATTAAGTGCTTCCTATGTTTCAGGTACTGTCTTTAAGTGCTTTTCAAATATGATCTCACGTGACTCACAACAACCTGGGAAAGTAGGTGCTGTTATGATTCCCATACAGTTGAGGAAACTGAGACAGACAGAAGGTAAGTGATTTGTCCAAGATCACACAATTAGTGTGATATGAGGCTGGATTTGAACTCAGGTGTTCTTGACTCCAAGTCCAGAGTTCTAACCAGGGAGGAAGAAAGTCTTAATGTTTAAATTTTTGAGTCCTAATAACTATTCCACATTGAAATGGATGATTCAGGGAAATTCTGGAAACTTAATATAAAATATCATATTCTAATCAGAGCTCCTTGTTACAATGGTTACTAATATCAAACAATGAGCTCCTAACCACAGAGGATTATAAGATAATAGAATCACAGAACCACAACATGAAAGATCATTTTACAGATGAGGACAATGAAATCCATAGAAGCAATAGTCATTCGGATAGTAAAGAGCCAAGACTAATGTCTAAACTCCAAATCCAGGGCTCTTTTCAGACCCAGTCCTTTTTTTTTTTTTTTGGTTTTGGCAGTCAGGATTAAGTGACTAGCCCAGAGTCACAGAGCTAGTAAGTGTTAAATGTCTGAGGCTAGGTTTGAACTCAGGTCCTCCTGACTCCAAGGCCAGAGCTCTATCTACCACGCCACCTAGCTATCCCAAGGATTCTTTTAATAACACCATGCACACCAACCGAAAAATGATAGCTCCCCTCCTGTTAATCCATAATTCGAAAAACTCTAATGTTAGTTTTCAGAGAGTCCTGATAGACATCCAAGTTTTCTAGTGAGTACAAAGTATTTGTATCCCTGACACTGCATTTGTAAGAATGGTAAATTAGCATGAAGAAAAGTAGCACATATGCAAATGTGTACACATAAACAAAGCATGACACAATACAATGAATGTGAGCTTGTTTTTAAACAAAGAAAAAATAAAGGAGGGAAGACTGTACAAGGAAAGATAAAAAGACAATTGTTGTATGTCTTTTCAGACATAGTTTATCTTTACCCTCAGTAATATGGTTAGTAGACTATATTACTGTGCCAACCACAAAGAGGAACACCAGGCTCACTAAAAAATATTTTTAAAGCCCCCAGGAAAACTCAGCAGTCTCTGCGATTTTTAAAAAATAGTTTATGAAAATTGGATTCCTATAAAAGTAGAAAAATAGACCATTTTTACTGCAACAAAAACTGATTTGTAAAAGCTGGAACCAGTTTAAAAATATGCTAAACATGAGGTTCTTGTTAGGCTTGAAAAGTAAGAGTTATAAAAAAAAAGGCACTAAAATATGGGGCCAATATATGGTATATAATGCAAAAAAAAAACCCTAGACTTGTTCTTATTATTTTTAATTAGCTTCTATAGTAAATCCCATTTTACTTTCTAACACCATTTCAGAATTGAGAAGGGAAAGGCTTACATTTAACACTCTGGGATTGGCAATTCCTTTGCTTATGCCTTGGAGCACTAATGCATTTTGCATTAGTTCTAAATGTCGGGAAATCCTGGCGCCAAGTGTTTCAAAACGATAGTGACACATGTCTAAAACTTAGTATTTGCTGTCCAACTGCCAGTGTCTATTTTATCAAACATATTGTCTCCTTTGCATAATAGGGAAAAATGTGTGCAATCGTTTTTACTGTTTCCAATTAGGTTGCCAACTGTATTATAAAAATGTATGCATTCAGATGAAAAAGCTCCTCCCACTGCCATACTGGAAAAAAAGGGAGGAAAAATATCACACAAATTAAAATTTTTAGTCTCTTTTTTAACTTTGGTTTGGTTTCCTCATGTAATTTGAACTTGTTAGATAATAATGAAATTAGATAACAATGAGGTCAACATTTAAGTCAATAATTTTCTTGTTGAATATAAAAATATATGGCTGTGCAAGGTAGCAAAAGCTTTTTTTCTTTTCATCTTCAGGATGTTTGAGATGGTCAATTTCCACATTTAGTCAACTAAAAGTGAAATCCTTAGGAAGACAAAGGCTTTTCAGTCATGGGCATGGCCTAATGAATAAGGATAAGTCTAAGGATAAGTCTCCTGGGAAAAGACTGCTTTATCCTGATTTTGTTCTGCACCTAGCACACTGCTGGTATTCCAATGTTTACTAATAATAGTCATGAGAATAGCAATTTAAATTGCGCATGCTCTAACTTTATAATTGTTTTTCTGCATAATTCTTGATAGGCTTCATTTTATTTTGGACTGAAGAGCAGGAAAAAAACAAGAGAAGTCCCATGACTCTCTCAATGCCATTCCAACACATAATAATCCTATTGGGTAATTCTTATTACCCTATATCCTTCATGTTATACCTTATGCCTATTTACAGAAGAACAGATTTTGACTTAGAAGGGACCTCTAAGGTCATCTGGTCTTTTGTCGTATCTGAGTAGATACAGGGAAGAACTAATAGATAATTTCACATATCTGAAAGCCATCCTCATTTTCTTACTTTGAAATCAGTTTCATAAAATGTCATTCTCTTTTCAATGTAATCAAATAAAATATACATTAATTTCCCCCATCATGTATCAGGACTGAAAGACAGGTATTGGTTCATATTTGACATATTTTGAAGCAATTATAACATACCCAAACATTTAAATGTTTATATGGTATGAGAAAGGTACTGAAATCTTTCTAGAATTAAACAAAAAAAGTTCAATATTCTTAGTCTTATAGTAACAAAGCAAAGCAATAAAAAAAACCTATAAAAAAATAAACCAAACCAAGTAGAAGGATTGGATAATAGACCAAGTAAGTGATTCCAGGAGTAGGGTCAGCTATAAAAAGAATGAAAATAGGAACAAGTACAAATTTTTGGAAATAATGTATACTGTAATTGTTTGCATCTCTACTGGAGCTGCTTAGAAATAGTCCCCTCCCACTTAAGCTATCACCTAAAAGGAAACTGAGTGAATTCATTATAAATTGGAATCTTCTGGAAATATAAAAGAGAAAATGATTTGAGATCTGAGAAACTACAAAGGACGAGAGATGAAAGAACCAACTTTCTCATGGGACATTTTGATTAAAGGGAAAACAATTCCCAAGTTCAACCTATTATTGTTAAGTATTTTAGATCACACTTCTGGTCTACAAAGTGATTTTTAAGTTTTATTAGCTAAGCTACCCAAAGCAACTTTAAGTCAGCATTATTGCAACATGAATGATACAGAAGAAAAGAGTGTTACTTTTCAGAAAAGAAAATTAGACAATAGGGATAAATGAACTTACCCAAGGTTATAGGAACATATAGCAGAGAGAGAATTAAAATATAGAACTGTTTTGGGTTCTAGTTCATCATTTTACCACTGAGTAATTATATAGTCCTGCAAAGTATTTTTATTCTTTTCCAAAATGTGATTTCAAAACATTATGAATTTGAGTTTTTGTCAAACTAATTAATTAAATCACCAGCATGTTAACTTGAATATTTATTTCTTAGAGAAAATGATAATTAATGTTTTTTATCATTATGAGGCTGTACATGGATGAAAATAATCTTTCCAGTGTTAATCACAATTACCTCAAGCTAGTTACCAACTCTCCAAAGAAGTTTTTCTCACATTACCCAATAGATTGTTGCTAAAAAGTTGGTTGTAAAGTGAATCATTTTCTCACAGGGCTTTCGTTAAAAATAACTTTCAATGAAACTGAAGAAATATGTTCTCCAGTTTTCTGTTGGTCTGGCTTCATGTAAAGATAGATGAAAAAGGATCAGCAGAAAGATATGAATGTGGGAAGTTGCTCAAGGTAAAGGAAAAATGGCTGATGAGTTAATTCTGTAAATATTTGTAAAACCTGGTAATATATTGTTTTTTGGAAACATAGTCCAAATTTCTTCCTTTTCTAATTTTGTTATGGAAAATTTGTTTCATAACATTCAACCAAAAGTTCAGCTCTGACCTCCTAAAGCACCAAGTTTGTTATACCAACAATCTAGTACATGTTATTTTCTTTATTTCAGATTTAAGATGGCTTATGGCAAGAAATAAAGGGGCCAAGACATCCAAGAGACTCTTATAACCATCATAATTACAACAATATATTGCCAAAACAACATACATCTTTAAGACTGTCCTAGAGATAATTTTTAGTAAAACAAGAATATACAATTAATTGGTATAGCTATCGCTACGTAAATTTCAAAAGTGATATTCAACAAAGTCACCTTTGAAATAAGAGACTTATACCTCTAGTAATCATTCAATGATGGCAGAGGGGAAAATATCTTTTCTGGCAAGGTTTTTGAAGCCTATGTCATCAGTGATAAAGCTGGAAATCTGCCTTTTCAACATCATATTATTGGGAAAAAAATCTTCAATTTAATCAAAGCTTTAAAACTTTTCCAAGCATATGTGTCTGAACAATTGTTAAAATATATGATAAGTCTTTTGCATTTTCTTCTCTGTTTTTATTGATTTTAGAAGGTTCTCAGATTAAAATGGCAACAGCAGTGTTTGTTTCAAGACACAGCCTGGACTTTCCAAACTGATAAAACAATGATTCTTTAAAAATACGATTTAAACAAACTTTAAAAATTAAAGTGTGACTACCTACTAATAAAAAATTCTGCTTAAAAAGATGAAAGTTACCTTCTTAATGAAAAAAAGTAGACAAATTTCAAAAAATTTTAACTGTTTTAAAAACAGAAAGAAAATGGTTCTTTCCCTCCAAAGTGTTAATTACATTTTATTTCAAGATGTACTTACCTTCCAGGAAAGGAATGTTGCCCCACTAAGTCTCCATTCTGAAGGTGATAATCATTGAAGAAATCCGGACTCATGGCACCTTCAGGAGCAATCAATCCATCTAATGAACAAAAAAAGGTATAAAAATAACAAACAGTCATTAATTTCTACAACTGAAATTATCCATGGTCAGTGAGGATAAATGTTAATATGAAACAATGCAAAGTCATTTGCTTCTCTTTCCAATATCATGATCAGAGATTACTTCCATCTCTATTTTTGCCCTGTCTCCATAAGTAAACTGTCACTCCCTTGAGGACAAAGCTTAATGAATGCTTCATCTGATGATGATGATGATGATGACAGCCAGCATTTATATAAAGCATTAAACTTTGCAAAATGCTTTACATGTTATCTTGTTTGATCCTTATTCAGAACTGCTTGATGGAAGTGACTTTTCCAGATAACTGAAGCTTGGTACTAAGTGCCCCAATTTTTTAATGTTAAATCATTTTTTTCCCTTCCTTCCTTCCCTCCTTCCTTCCCTCCTTCCTTCCTTCCTTCCTTCCTTCCTTCCTTCCTTCCTTCCTTCCTTCCTTCCTTCCTTCCTTCCTTCCTTCCTTCCTTCCTTCCTTCCTTTCTCTCTTTCTTTCTTTTTCTGTCTCTCTCTCTCTCCCTCCCTCCCCCTTCTCTCTTTCCTTCTCTTTCTTTCTTTTCTCTTTCTTTTCTCTTTTCTTTCTTTCTTTCTTTCTTTCTTTCTTTCTTTCTTTCTTTCTTTCTTTCTTTCTTTCTTTCTTTCTTTCTTTCTTTCTTTCTTTCTTTCTTTCTGTCTCTCTCTCCTTCCCTCCCTCCCCCTCTCTTTCCTTCTCTCTCTCTCTCTCTCTTCTCTCTCTCTCTCTCTCTCTCTCTCTCTCTCTCTCTCTCTCTCTCTCTCTCTCTCTCTTTCTTTTTTCTTTCTCAATTGGGGTTAAGTGACTTGCCCAGGGTCACACAGCTCATAAGTGTCAAGTGTTTGATCTGAGGCTGGATTTGAACTCAGGTCCTCCTGAATCCAGGGCCAGTACTCTATTCATTGTGCCACCTAGCTGCCCCAATGTTAACCATTTTTTGATAGAAATCTTTTTTAAAAGTGGGCTCTCCATTTCACTGCCTTCCTAAATAGAATGACCTGACTCTAATTTAACCTTTTCTTAATGCAAAAGCATTAAGCAATAAGGCACTATTTAGATATTTATTTCTACAATAAATATGCTTTTTAAATTGTTACATTTGCTTTTCATATTATTTTTGTCTCCTCATTTGTTGATATGCCAGGTGTCACCTCTTCCTGTTTCAGCACCTTTAACTTTTGTTAGAATTATTTGTAAAACAAAAGTAAATAAGCACTGACTAACTGTCCAGTGTACTTTCAATGAATAAAGTGAATGAATTTTATTTAGTGAATGGACTAGATGCCCAGACTTTTAAACTTTTTTTTGGCAGGGAAAGGGATGGTATGGATGAGATAGATTACATCTTAGGGGTCAATTGTACTTTAGAAAGCTCAGATAGCTAAATAAGAGACCTTTAGATAAATGTATTATTATATTTACATATATCACCAACATTAGTACAATGTTCTATCCGTAGTAGACCCTCAACAAAGAGCTTATTGAGTTAACAGTGTGTCTGTGTGAATAAACTTATGCTAGGCGTTACGGAGGTTACAAAAACGAATAATACATGATCCCTAACCTTGAGGAGCTGCCAATCTAGGTAGAGAGAAAGAATGTATATATACTTTAAAAATGAATAAACAATGCCAGAGGTAAATAATAATGTCATTAAAAAAACATGTCACAATGCAATATATGATTAAGTACAAATAATTTATACATATAAGTACTTTGAGGTGAGAGGAAAAGATCATTATGCATTCAGGTGGTCAGGGAAGGCTTTACAGAAGAGGTGGAGTTGGAGGTGAAACTTTGAAGTATGGACAAGATTCGGAAAGGTGAAAGAGATGAGGAAAAGTAAAGAAAAATTGAGTGGGTAATTATGTATTAATTGGTGGGAATGTACAAAATGCACAAAAGAAGAGCTGAGAGGAAGTTGGAAATTTCATCTATTTATCATCCATTTAAATAAGCATAGTAAAAGGTTGGAGTTGGGTTTACTTTTCCATTTTTGTCAAAAGGATGAGAACAGAAAACATAGATTAATTAGGAGGTAAAGACCTGCTAATGCGAAAGAAACAAACGGATCCAGGAGTACTAAAAGTAGAGTAACAATCAATGATTTTTATCAGCTTCAGAAGTCATAAGACTGGCTATGCCAGCACGCATTCACACACACACCCACACCCACACCCACCCACCCACACACACACCTCTACACACACCCACTACAGAGTAATGGGCTGAACCAAGACACTACAGATTTAACAAAATGAGAGTTAAGGAGTTAAGATCCATTTTTTGATGGATGAGCCATCATCAAAGTGTAAGAACAACGAACAAGGTCAAGACCAAAATTATCAAGTTCCTCTGGTAACTGAAAAGCAAATTCAGGAATAGTATTTTCAAGGAATCCACCAATTAAAAAAGGAAATAAATTAAACTTAATGTCAAAAATAAAACGTGCTCCACACTTCCAAACTGAATGAAAGAAGTGCTGAATTCACTGGTATGCAAAAGGAGTGAAAAGGATTTTAAACATTCAGAAGTATTTGAGATCGCACTGTATGAAATAAAGACAACACTGAAATAATGGTAAAAAGTTCAACTTACATGAAACATGAACTGGACAGTGTGCTAGGATAAGAGGAAATTAATAAATGAAAAAGCGTTGGTTAAATTCTCAACATCTTCCTTCCATATTCAGAACTCCCACTGGCTTCAAAGGGAGTAATGCATATACCAAAAAGACAAATGGGACATAGAGAAAATGAAAACTGCAACTTTTGAAAAGAATAAATTAAACAAAAAAAAAATAACAAATTAAAAGTCAGTAAGAAGTAATATAAAGCCAGAACATAACTACTTTTGTAATATAATACTCCTGACCCTACCAGTAAAGAGAAAAATTATTCATATTTTGGAAGCTCATTATTTTTACTTTCTATTTATAAATGTGTAGTGTAACAGTTTTATTTAAGAATGGGACAGAAGAGTTAATTTTAAAACTATTTCATTTTAAAATACCCACTTTTATTCTGCTGGCAAGAAGACTTAATTAAACAAATTCATTTTCATTATCAAAAAAACCTGGTAGATTACTGCAAAGCAGATACTGATATAGAGGCATTCAGAAATGTTAAAGTGTTCGAGAAAAAGACTGACATATCTGAAATAGACTCTAAGTTCACCTATCAGATGACAACACTAAGATTCCCATAAAATGGAAGAAACAGATGCACTGTGACTGATATTTTAATAGTTTAACAGAAGATAGAAAGAGATTTTAATGAGTAGGAAGCAGCAAATGCCATTCCATTTTAAAGTAAAGGAGATAAGATCCAGGGAATCACAGGCCACTTAGCTTAACCCCTGTGACTAGAAAGCTACTAAAGCTGCTTTTACAGGAAACAGCCAAAAGTTTCTTACAGACCCATGGATTTAAATTAGATGACTCAGGCATTCAAACAAATCTTCTCCTGTGTTACAAATTTACCTGATGTTTCCAAAGATCCTAAAGTGGTACATGATAAAAGGAACAAAGCTGACATTACTAGATTTCTAAGAGACATCTGATGAGGTGCCACAAAAGATTCATTTATTAGATAAGAGTTCATGGGAAAGTGATTGACTGGATGGAACAGACCAGAAGGAAAAATGTAGACCTTGTGCTACCTCTTTAGAGGTATTTGTGGTATTTTTATTTTAACTGTCAAATTTCCATGTGTACCTAAAGCAGAAGAAAGATGGCAAGAAAAAGAAGCACCTGGGAAGCAAAGTACAAGACACAGCAAGAGATTTCTGCACAGTTTATGGGAGGGACCAGTAACTCTTCTTTATACCACTCGTTCTCCAAAACAATTAGGTTTTGTCACCAACTGTTGCTGCTTTCTCATTTCAATTATAATTTCAGTACCTAAAATTCAAAGTTCTAAATGTATAATTCTGTGGTCTGACAACCTAGGTTCAAGTCTTGCCTTCTTCCACTTCTACCTGTGTAACTTTGGGACAGTCAGTCCCATGGGCTTCAGTTTCCTCAACAATAAAATGAAAGTGCTGTATTAGATGTCCCTGAGGTCCCTTTCAGCTGTGGTCTATGATTCTATGGGCCTATGCATCTCAATGATTTACATCACATATATTTAAAATAAATTTACTTATCAAATACTTGAGTATTCAAGAGGCAACTGTTTGCTGTTATTATTAAATGAGATATTCTGGTTGAAATAAAAGATCTACTCTTTCTGGTATGAAACACAAAATGATATATTATGAAACTATTGCAAAGTTTATTTAGGAAACAAGCCTACTTAATTTTCAACTTTAGGAATTCAAGTCTTCATCAAGCACTGCAGGGATAACTCCTGTCTATGAACAATAATAAATGTTTATGGGCAGTGCTTTCAAAATACACACGTAAGACCACACTGCTCTGATAGAACTGGGAAAAAACTGGAAAATAAACTGATAATTTAGACATAATCACCTACTGAAATATTTTTTCATCTTAGCATGGTTTTTAACCTTCTATACATTATGTCACTGGCAATGTCCTTCACCTCACCCTGCTCAATTAAAATTATCCATTACAATATGTTACAGCACTAATACAAAAAAGCACGGAAAACCTGGAGGTGAAAAGCTACTGACATCTCACTGTAACTCACTGCTGTGGAAACAATCATTAAGTGGGATGGATGAAGGTTATGTACACGCACCAAACTTAAAGGAAAGAGACCATCTTGGTGTGCATAGATGTCACATCTAAAATCCTTGCCAGAAGTCCACTCGTCTAAAAGACATTCTTGTAAGGCCTGGAAATGACCTGAGCTGGCAAATCAAAACTCCAGTTTATACCACACAACAATTTACTTGTATGTTTAACTGGTGATTCAGGAAAAGACATAGGAAAATTCTTGGTACCATCTTACCTGAACTGTAGAACAGGTCAGGTCTTTCAAGGATATCTGCTTCATGGATATATGGTTCAATTCGATCATCTCCATATAAGTACTGTTCACTCTCATCCATCTGACGACTCTCTACCATTTCAAGCCACTGAGAGTTATGCCAGCGGAACTTCTCACTCTGAATTTTCTTAGCCCACTCTTCATCGTATTCCTGTTGAAAATCAAATACAGAGCTAATGTTATATGATATATTCAATGAATAATTTGTGTGGTATATGAATACATTTAGATAGTAAGAATTTTTATCCCAGGAAAATAATTTTGGCTACGTTTCTGTGGACCAGGAGGAATATTTTAAAAACTGTGTACAACCATCCTCAACAATTTCTAAAAAACCATACATAGGTATTAAGGAGGCAGGCATTCTAAAAAGAGGCATTCATATATTCATCTTTCAAGGTCAACTCATCAGTTGCAAAAAAAAAGTAATAAACAAACATCTGTCCTATATGACAAACTCATGGTTGATTTAAATCCCATGGATGCGAATTCAAACACCCTGCAAGGAGTTTAAATCCCATAAACTATCTAAAAGATTGGCAGCACTCATATAAGCAATCAAATTTCAGTGTTCCAAGAGGTCTTACGGCTGTAATTGTTTGTGACATTTTGGACAGCTAGCTAGTTTTATATTTACATTCTATATGTTTAGATAACACTTTGTAAATGACAAATACACATTTCTAACATATTACATACTTTTGCTTCACTGGCAAGTTTAAAATGCGTCATCAGGGTTTTAATTCCAAGAAGATTAATAACAAAATCTATGAAGATTAATTTTTCTCCCAACTCCATAGAAATTGAAAAGTTTTAATTTCTATGATTTCCTATAATTGGTACTTCTCATTATGCAGTATAAAGGCTTGTTACCTGGTATGATGGACTTGGCAATAGGCAAGCAATAAATTTAGAAATTTTGAAAGAGCTGAGGCATAAGAAACATCTTGTGTCATTGGATGAAAAAAAATCAAAAGATTTTAATAACTAACATTTTTGTTTTAAGGCAAGACAAATGAAGAAATTGCAAAAAAAAAGCATCTCACACAGACTATTATAATAGCCTTAGCCTCCTAACTGTGCTCTCTACTTCCCTTACTTCAGTTTCTCCCATCTCCAATTCTTCCTCTATATATCTAGTACAAATTTAACATTCCACCATCTCAAAAGACTTCAGGGGTTTCCTCCTGAAACTGACTTTAATCTACCTTCCTAGTCTGATCACACATTACTATTACCCTTTATCCACTCTAAGTTCCCAACTGGAAAAACTATTTTTCAAATGTATTTGAATAAAATATGTCCTAGGCTTAGAACTGTTCCTTTCTCATCTTAGCCCATTAGAATGAATGGGCACATTCTAAGTTCAGCATGTTTCTCTTCCTTCAATGTCATATCCTCTATAAAAACCTTGCCTGATCCACCTAATAGGTAATGCTTAACTGCCTTACATTTATCTGTAACCTGCCTTTGGGGGAAGCCCGAGTGCTAGTTGGACAGTCACCTTGATTCTAAAGCTTGAGCATCTCCTAGAGCAGCACTTGCCCCACTCCTACCTCCACTTCAGTCTTCTGAGAAAAAGGATGGAAGAAACCAAAGAAGCAGAGCCAAATAAGCAGGACGAAGAGACAGAAGGGAAGTGAAAAGCTTCCAATATTAAGCCATGAGAGTTGCTGATCAGAGGGGTTTGGCCTGATGCTATGCTGCAATCATAGAAAGGTAAGAGGGGCAACCCCAGGGACCTGAAGCTCTAGGATGGTGAGAGTAGGACAAAGGGATAGGACTGTCTCGGTGACCCTTTCCAACTTCTGGTAGAGCCTTTCTCCCTTCCTCAGTTAGACAGCTGTCTATTTATTATTTATTTGTTCTTTTCAATTTAGATTTCAATTATCTACTAATAGTCTTGGCCAGAAAAAATGCCAAGCTATGCGTGTATTTTTTTTAGGTTCACAAATAGCAAGATAATCAGAGTGTTCCCTGTTCCCAGAAACATGAGCAATTTCATTTAGCTTGGACTCAGGGGCTTAGGAGCTATTTTATAACAACTGAGCAAAGAGGAGATAGACCAGTACTGGACAATGTAACTTTGCTAACGACTCTGGAATTCAGATAGCTCTAGAAATAAAACTGGGAGCTAATCAGCAGCGCTGATAGTGAAGGGACTAAAGTATGGCCATTTTTTTCCTTCCCTTTGCTGAGATCTTGTGGTGGCTATTTGCCACACTAGGCTTTTGAAAAGCAAGTCATTCTCTAGAAAGAGAAGGGAGTGATTTTCTTGGAAAGGGAAAACCTCATCCTTGAATAGAAAATAGGTTGTTCTGGACAGTCCTCTGACACAAAGGCAGGGGAAGGTAGTTGTATGAGCTGCTCAATGGGCTGCTAACTGATGGATGACTGACAACTCTGCCTGGCCAGCTCCCCAGTGCCACCACCAGTACAAATAAATCCCCCTTGCTGAAGGGTCTATTTTGTTTTGTTATTGTATCTCCAATGCCTTGGATACAGTGGGAACCTAAAAATATTTGAATTGAAATGAACATTATTAGGGATCAGCTACGTAGGGCACAGGGTAGCACGTAAAGACTGCTCAGGTGACATGGGAAAGCTTTTTAATGTGTAACTCAATCAAGCCTTAGTTCCAGCTTCAAAGTTATCTGTTGAGACTTTTGAGTACAGATTTTTTTTGGCTGCCTTGAGCAAAGGGGAAGGGAAGGAAAGAAACACTTACTAAGCAACTACTATGTGCTGCTAAGTGCTTTCCAATTATAAAGTCATTTGATCCTTGTAACACCCCTGGAAGATAGGTATCATTGGGGGTGTTATTATCTCACACACACACACACACACTCTCTCTCTCTCTCTCTCTCTCTCTCTCTCTCTCTCTCTCTCTCTCTCTCTCTCTCTCCTTTTGCAGCTGGGGAAGGTGAAAGAGACAGAGGTTGTGATCTGTCTGAGGATCACACAACTAGAAAGTGTTTGAGGGCAAATCTGAACTCAGGTCTTCTGACTCCAGATCTAGTACATTATATCCAAAACAGCAGCTAGATGCCTTTAATCAACTGCACCAAGGGGTCAAAAGGCAGAGTTGGTCTGGAATTTGAACTTTTCAAGGCTTTCTGCCAGCTCAGTGTTAAGGACCTTCTATGTATCAAGCGCTATGCTAGGCTTGGGATAAAAAGACAAACAGTAAAACAGTGCCTGAACTCGAGTTGACATTCTCTCAGGGGAAACATGTACACATAAAAACAGATACACAATTCAGGGCCAGTAATGCATGGGGACTCCTGGGTGAGGAAGCTCCCTCTTCCAATTCAGGTAAATATCCTTTCTGCAACTTACAGAGCTCAGAGAGTTGCCAGGATTACAGCGAGGTTAACTGACTTGTCCAGGGTCAGGGTCACAAGGGCAGTGTATGAAAGAGATAGAATTTGAACCCCGGTCTTCCTGGTTTCAAGGACAGTTTTCTCTTCACAATATCATGCTGCCTCTGACCATACAAAATATACACAAGGCAGTTTCAAGGATGGGGTGGAGTGGTGGTGGGGGAGATAACTAAAGCTGGTGATGTATATGATAGAACCTACAGTGCTGGCTATGGTGAACTAAAGTGGGAACTACCAATCTCTGCAGTACAAGAGGATAACCAGTAGAAGAGCTATTTAAGCAAAGTCTGGGTGACCATGCACAGAAGACTTGTACCTAGGGGCTCATGGGCACAAATCCCACTGCTGACCTTACCAGCTGCGTGACCATGAGTAAGTCAGTCTAGGTTTCCTCCATGATATGGGGATAAACATATCTGTAGTACCTACCTTCCAGGATTTTCTGTGATACAATGCATGTGAAGTGCTTTTCAAAATTAAAAATACTAGTAAATGCCAGTTCTTATACACACATATGTATATATGTACATAAATATTCTGTTTCAGTGATTTCCATTGTTCACATCTCTTCTATCAGCACATAATATAATCAGTCAATTAACATTTAGTAAATGCCAACCATGTGCCAGGTACTATGTTAAACGCTAAAGATACAAAGAAAGGCAAAAGATAGTCCCTGCTCTCAAGGAGCTCATTCTGCACAAACATGCTGTATACCGGGTAAATTAAAAAGGATTTATCCTGTCATAGGATAAAGAAACAGAGAAGGAACTAGAATTAAGGGGGATCAGGAGAGGCTTCCTATGGCAGGTGGGAAGGAAGCCCTGAAGCCGAGATGAGGAAGGAGAGCACTCCAGGGATGGGGACAGCCAGGAGGCCAATGGCACTGGATTCTAGAGTACATCGGGGAGGGTAGAGAATGGAAGGTATAAGAAGACTGGCATGGTAGGGGAGGGTCAGGTTATGACGGACTTTAAATGCCAAATAAAGGATTTTCTACTTGATTCTGGAGGTGATAGGGAGCCTCTAGAGTTTATTGAATGGGGTGGAGGTGACATTGTAAGAGTTGTGCTGTAGTTTTCATTTCATGAATGACTGTTGAGCACAGTGTGAGACATGGCAGAGAATACCCTCCAGGCTGAGAGCTACCCTCTATGCCATCTTTTGAATTGTGCCCATAATAATCTAGTTGTACTATGGGGGAAGGAGAAAAGAAAGAAAAAGCACATATTTAGTGTTTTATATATTAGTTTTCTATCTAATTTTACTTCAGTTTTGGGTGGTACAGACATGGTTTTTCCTTAAACTTGAATATGATTCTAAAATATCCTATTCTAGGTTCCACAGTTAGTCTTGAAGGTACAGCAATATAGATGAAATTATATAATTGGTTTTCCTGTATTTTTTCTTAATATTCAAGTGACTTTAATAACTGTTTGATAAGCATATCAAAATTGTGCTTAGACATCCATAATGTATATTCATGTAATTGGCTCTTTTATTCTTTATACATATTTCAAGAGCATTTCCAATCATTAAAATACAACAGGAACATCTAAGAGAGCTATCAAGCCTTTGCAAATGGAGCTATGTGATAAACTATGCTTTTTGAACATTGAAAGGTGAGAAGGAAACTGATGATCTGACATCCTGATAACTTATCCTGCCTGCTTTGAATACTGGCCCAGTCTGCAAATAATACCATTTCAGGAGATATGTTACCAAATGTTTTTCAGGGTGCCATAGAAAATAATTAATTGATTAGTTA